GGGTGGGATGGATACATAAATACGAGCATGATACAGTATATATTACAATGGGCACATAACCCAACTTGCTCGCTGTAGTGACTCAGGAAATATTCCTCGAGAACATTATACTAAACCATGTCCAGGAGATAAGTAAGAATTGAGAATGGAGGAGAATGTTTCGGGCAGAAGGAATATCGCAAAAGCCTGAAAGCTGTAGAGAATATGGTCCTTTAGGGTAATCAAAGTAGATAAGAATAGCTGATTCATAAAAGTGTAAGGGAAAATGGTTAGAGATGTGGCTAAGAAGGCATGAGCCAGATCTTGAAGCCATGGTAAGGAATTTGGATTTTATCCTGAGCAAAGTGGGAAATCATTGAAGAATTTCAGTCTAAGAAGTTACATAATCAAGTTCACAATTTAGAAAGAAAACTTTGGCTACGGTACAAAAAACAGCCTGGGGAAGGGCAGGATCAATGACAGGCAGACTAGACTGGTGGTTGTAGCAGTCCAGACAAAAGATGAGGCTAATCTGATCTAAAGCAGAGATAACAGCATGTATAAAGTGAGTAATGGACATATTTGATAAATGTTAAGGAGACTGGATGTGGAAATGAGAGAGGGAACAGAGTTGAGTCATAGTTTTTAGGCTTGAACAGTTAGGTATTTGATGATGTCATTTACTGAGCTAGGGAACAGAAATAGGTTTTGGGGGGAAAGAGCTGACATTTAGATGTGTTGGGAACATCAAAGTGGAACTGTCTCATAGACTGAGGTATAGATTTCTAACTCCTCAGAGAGACCTGGGCTCCTTATATCCAATCATGTGAATAGATATAGTAATTGAAACAATGGGAATGTGTTTGTTCATCCAGGGAGTGTGTTTAGAAGTAAGAAAAAAAAAAAAAAAAAAAAAAAAAAAAAAAAAAAAAAAAAAAAGAGCTCCTAGTACAGAACCCTGAACACAAATGTTAAGAAATGGGCGGGGAAAAAAGTCTGAAATAGACAATGAGAAGGAACAACTGGAAGGCTGGAAGAAAACTAGGAGTTCAAATACTAACATAAGATTTAAAAAAAATAAACATACTTATAATGAAATATTTGTCAGTGTTCTAAGTGCCCTATATATAATGACTCATTTAGTCCTCCCACAACCCTGTGAAGCTGGTACTATTACTATCCTTGTTTTAAGATGGGGAAACTGAGGCACACAATCTGCCCAAGATGATATGGCAAGTTAATTGCAGACTGAAATTTGATCCTAGATAGTGTGACTCCAGAAGAGTGCGAGTACTTAACCATTATGCTAGGTATGCTCTCTGGATGTACACATCCCCATATAAACATTGTAAGAGCCCTGAGAAGTTGGATTTATTGTCTCTGTTTTACAAAAAAGGAAACTGAGGCCCAGGGTGATTGTGTGATATGGCCAAGTTACAAAGCTACTAGATAGGTGAACAGAATTTGAACCTAGGTTCCTTAACTCCAAAGCTGCTTTCTACTACATTATACTGCTGTTTATTTCTCTCTTCACACACACACATATGTGTAAATAAAATTTAACTTTACTTATTTTAGAAATGTTAATTCCTCAGGTATTTACCAAATGCTAATAGTAACCAGCTTTGAATCCTTTCTCAAAAACAAGTGCCTGATTTGTCTCAGAGTTTTCAGTGATAGTATCAGTTTAATCCAGGTTTCTGTACATTCCTGTATAGATATAATGTCCTAGCCATTATGTCCTAATTGAATGATGCTTTTTTCAGCGCTTGATTCTCTAGAAATGCCATCAGAATGTCTTATGATCATAGAATTTTTTTTTAAGTTTATGTATTTAAGTAATCTCTACACCCAACGTAGGGCTCAAACTCACAATCCCCGAGATTATGCTCTACTGACTGAGTCAGCCAGGCACTCCCATAGATAGATTTTTTTTTTTAATCAATGAAGAAATCTATTTAAAAATTCTTCTCATTATTATTTATTATTTTTTTAATGTTTATTTATTTATTTATTTAGAGAGGCAAAAAAAGAATCCCAAGCAGGCTCAGCACTGTTAGCACAGAGCCTAATGTGGGGTTCCATCCCATGAACTGTGAGATCATGACCTGAGCTGAAATCAAGAGTTGGAGGCTTAACCAACGGAGCCACCCAGGTGCCCCTATTCTTCTTATGTATTGTCTCTAAGACTAATAACTACCCCAGGAGGGGGTCATTTACATGGCTTAATGGACCAGAACTAGGGCTTAAACTTCTGTAGTTCCTTATTTTGCTCATTTTATTTCTTGAAGTTTTAAGGGAAACAATTGATGTGTTGAGTCAGATTTGAAGATTATACACAGAAATGAAAGCTATATTTTGAAGTCAACAAAAGACACCTGGCAATGTTTAAGGACTAAAGGACTGTTAGGTGGTTTTCAGTGTCCTACAGGATCTTGTAAAAGAGTGTCCCCTAGTGCTGATCTGAAGAAGTAATTTGAGAGAAATTAAATATTACTTGTTTATAATCTCTATCACCATCTTGTGGCCGTGTCCTCAAATAATTCTGCCTTTTATTTGCAAAATCATCCAGAATCTTGCATTGTTCAATACGCAAAAGAAGGTCACAGGCTATCCTGGGTGATCCAGAATGGAATTACTTTAAATAGGTTATTTGGTCAGAACTCCATAACTTGAAAAGCAGCCCCAATACAAATTAAATTAAGATCAGTGGCACCTGGGTGGCTCAGTGGGTTGAGCGTCTGACTTTGGCTCAGGTCATGATCTCACAGCTCGTGAGTTCGAGCCCCACGTCGGGCTCTGTCCTGACAGCTCGGAGCCTAGAGCCTGCTTTGGACTCTGTCTCCCTCTCTCTCTGCCCCTAACCCACTCACATTCTGTCTCTGTCTCTCTCAAAAATAAATAAACATTAAAAATTTTTTTAAATAAATAAAGATCTTTGAAAAGAAAACGGGAATTTGCTTCTTTGTTTATGCCAGTGAAGCAATAGAAGTGCAAACCAGATGTATTTCTTTCTCTTTTTTTTTTATAACTTAAAGTCCCTCTGTTTTATTTATTTTTTTTAGTATACTCTACCCCCAATGTGGGGCTCAAACCCATGACTCCAAGATCAAGTCACATGTTCTACCGATTGAGCCAGCCAGGCACCTCAAAACTAGATGTATTTTCAACATTCATTTTTTTATCATATTAAAATATGCATAATATAAAATTCACCACCCCAACCATTCTCAAGTATACAATGCAGTGGCGACTAAGCGCATCATGGCGTTGTGCAAACAACACTGCTGTCCGTCCTAGAAAATTTTCATCAGCCTGAACAGAAACTGTATGCCCTTTAAACATCACATTCCTTCTATCCTTCAGCCCTTTGTAACCTCTATTCTACTTTGTCTCTATGAAGTTGACTACTTTGGGCACCTCTACCTCATGTAAGTGAAATCATGCAATATTTGTCCTTTTGTGTCTGGCTTATTTCACTTAGCATAATGTTTTCAAGGTTCATCCATGTTGTACCATGTATCAGAATTTCATTCCTTTTTAAGACTTGTATATACCATTGTATATACCACATTAAAAAAAAATCCATTCAACTGTTGATGGACATTTGGGTTGTTTCCATCTTTTGGGTATTATAAATAATACTGCTATGAACATTGGTATACAAGTATTTGACTCTCTGCTTTCGGTTCTTTTGGGTATACCTAGAAGTGGAATTGCTGAATAATACGATAATTCTGTTTAACTTTTTGAGGAACTGCCAAAATGTTTTTTACAGTAGCTGTATGATTCCCACCAGCAATGCACAAGGGTTCCAAGTTTTCCACATCCTCACCAACACTTGCTCTTTTCCATTTTTTTTAGAAAAGCCATCCTAATGGGTGTGAAGTGTGAACTTTAACTTTTGAGTTACCTTTGAAAGCCAATTACACATGAAGTTAAATCAAGAAATCTTTTTAAGTTTATTTATCGAGAGAGAGAATGTGCATGTGCATGTATGCGAATGGGAAGGGGCAGAGAAAGAGGAAGAGAGAGGATCCCAAGCAGGCTCCATGCTGCCAGCACAGAGCCCAATGCGGGGCTCAAATGCATGGAACCACCAGGTCGTGACCTGAGCCAAAATCAAGAGTCGGATGCTTAACTGACTGAGCCGCCCAGGCGCCCCTCAAAAACATTTCTCGAATTGGGGCACCTGGGTGGCTCAATCAATTAAGCATGTCCAGTTCTTGATTTCCACTCAGGTTGTGATCCCAGGGTCATGAGATTGAGCCCTGTGTTGGGCTCTGAGCTGGTCACGGAGTCTACTTAAGATTCCCTCTCTCCCTCTATCACTCGTGCTCTCTCCTTCCCTCTGTTTCTCTAAAAAACAAAAAAGGAAAAAAAAAAGAAGTGTTTTGAACTCCTGCTATATATATTTATATAGCCACACACACAGAACACAGTTGCCCTCTAAGGGAATAAAAAGGATGAGGAAAATATATTCTTGAGCAGTGACTGGGTGGCTCAGTCAGTCTGGCTTTGGCTCAGGTCATGATCTCACAGCTAGGCTGGTGACTTCAAGCCCTGCATTGGGCTCTGTGCTGACAGCTGAAAGCCTGGAGCCTCCTTCGGATTCTGTTTCTCTCTCTCTCTCTCCCTCTCCCTCACTCATTCACTCTGTGTCTCTCTCTCTCAAAAATGAATAAACATTAAAAATTTTTAAAAAATGTATATTGTTGAATCTTTAGGTAATTTACCATGTATTTTTCTCCTTCAAATGTATTTGGGAACAAGCAAATCAACTTAAATTCTCACTGGGTGGTTGGAAATACTAGTCTAGAGATCGTAAGCCAAATTTATAGAAAACTGGTAGTGGAGATAAAAATGGTTATTAAACTAATTTTGCAAAGAATATAGTCAATGCTAATTATATAGTCCTTCTTTTGGAAAAGTCACAAAAAAGGTTATTTTGGCAAAGTCTCTAATTTTTTTTTCACCCCCACAGGTTGGACTTGTTAAAAGAATCTTGATACATTACTACAATGGCCACTGCTCAGCTCTCTCGCTCTATCAAAATTCACAAAGCATCTAAGGTATTTACTAAGAATTAAACGAAAATCAATGACTATTTTAGTGAGTTCAGAATCATGACTTTAATCTTCGGTGTTTTTTTAAATAGCAGTTTTATCAGTTAATTGGCACATAATATTCTGGCAGAGTATGTCTACATTTTAACTGCCTAATGGGCTGAGGATGTTCAAGAAATTAGAATAGATTCCTACAAAGTAACTGACTGGGTGCTTGTTTCATGCTCATATGTTTAGATTTTCTAGAGTAAAAGAAATCAGGAACAAAGAAGATGTTTAAAGAGAACAGTTCTCTGTTAGATCCTCATTTCCTGAAGCAATTAGGAAATTTTTGATATGCACCATGATGTAATTTTAAGGACTGAAGAACTTGGAGGCTGGGCCCCTGGGGGAGCATGCCAGAGTCAGGCATCCTTCCCGAGTTCACAAGGGCAGGTCTGTCTTGTCCCATGACATTCATTAATGAATCATTCATTTATTAATTAAGAGCTTGGTATTATATAATACATATTATAAATAAATCTTTATCTCCCAGAAGTTTAGAATCTGGTAAAGGAAATAAGATTTAAAGGAGTCAAGCCAATATAGAAAGCAGTATATACATTATATATGTGAAAAAGAGTAAAACAATACAAATTATAGGAAGTTAGAGATTTTGTATAGACTGGAATAGTTTGTATATTACTCATGAAGGAAACGTGATGTAAGGTAGACTTTGAATAATAAAAAGGATTTGAGTAGAGGAGAGAGAAGAGAACTCTTTGAGGAAAACCTACCAACATGCTTTGGCTCAAAATGAGAAATGAACATTTTAGAGAATAATGAAGAACGTATCCTTACTGGAGTGGAGAGACATCATGTTGGGCAGAAAAAGGAAATAAAACCGAATGGGAACTTTGGAAACAAATTAATATGGATCTTAAAAGCCAAGCTAAGGAATTTATGCTTTATTCTTTACTTTTTTTTTAAGTTTTTTAAAAAATTTATTTAATCTCTACACCCAGTGTGGGGCTCAAACTCACAACCTCAGGATCAAGAGTTGCATGCTCCTCCTACTGAGCCAGCCAGGCACCCCTTCTTTATTCTTCAGTCAGGAGAGTGAATAAAATTGGAGTACCTGGGTGGCTCAGTTGGTTAACATCCAACTGTTGATTTTAGCTCAGGTCATGATCTCACAGGTTCATGGGATTGAGCCCTGTTTTGGCCTCTGGGCTGACAGTGGGGAGCCTGTTTGGGATTCTCTCTCTCCCTCTCTCCCACTCACACTTGCTCTCTCTCCCAAAATAAATAAATAAATATTTATTTAAAAAAGAGAGTGAATAAAATAATTGTTTTAGGAATATTAAGCTGCAGCAAACAAAGGCAAGATTCCAGCTGAAGGAGAATTAGGGCAGAGAGAAAGTAGTCATCTTTCTGGCTTGAATTCAATATACTCACTGGATTCCTGATCTCATTTGGTTTCCTAAGTGTGCTTCCTTCCTGGGGGGAAATGCTGAGCCGGGTATATATATATGAATTACGGTCAGCTTGGGAGTTATTTTCTCTCTGTAAATTAACAAATTGATGTTTTAATATAAACAGATCTTTGTAGTTTGGACTGAATGAACTATTTCCAGTAAGTTTTAAGTGACTATGATTTTGTTATTTAATACTTAAAACAACAATAATAACAATTCTAGAAGCTAACATTTATTCAGCATTTGCCATGTACTGGGCACTGTGCCAAGGGCTTTATATTATTGTTTCAATTAAACCTCACAATAAGGTGGAAACTGAAGCTCAGAGAAGTAAAGTAATTGTCTTAGGTCATGTAACTTGACAGCTGAGCTGTCAAACATCGCGTATGTCATTAGCACACTGTCTTATTAAAATAGCTTGACATAGTGTTTTTTATTGTCAAGTCAGTATTTTCATGTATTTGACATTTATGAAAACATCATTGATGACCCTTAAGGTATTAGATCAGTTGAGCTAAGAAAAATAAGAACAGTTGAGCTAAGAAAAATAATCCCTAGGATACAGAAAAATAACAGAACTTTAGAGGGCTTTTCTAACTATTGATCTTCATTACTGCAAATGGCCTTTTAGATTCTATATTTAAAGTAAATGTCTTTATACTTCCAGGTTATTTAATTTTACAAATGGTTATTACTCAAGTGTTACCTTTAAGTTTTGGCAAGTTTTCAGTAAGGTGCCATATATAGATGCCATGCCAACTATTACCCACTGACTCAAAAAGACCTTAACTTCTGAGGCTCTGTCAGTACAAAAAGCGGTTTTCTGTAAAATTTTACATGCACACACATGCACACCACATACATACCTAATTCCCCTTCAGCTTTAAGTTTTCCTACTTCTGCTATAGCTTAATATTCCTAAAACAATTCTTTTACTCACTTTCCTGATCAAATCCACTGACTTCCCATTGATTGTAAAATAAACCATAAATTCCTTAGCCTGGCTTTTAAGATCCATACTGATTTGTCCCCAAAGTTCCTATCATACATGCAAGAGTATTATAATTTTATAGTATTTTATTTTATTATATATTTTTATTTATTTATTTATTTTATTGTATACTTATTATATGTTATTATTTTATTATATACATTTTAACAACGGAATATAATATAATTTGATAATTTATTGCCAGTGTGCCAAAGAAGAACGAAGTTTATATAGCAAAATCATGACTAGAATGTCTTTTGGATATAGCTATAGAAAAGCTTTTTGTGAGTTCTTCATCATCACTTCATCATCAAAGGCATATTTGCGGGTAGTACCTGCCTCTAAGTAACAGGATTATTAAAACTTCAACAGATGAAACTGTGTAGTATAGTAAAAAGACCTCTGAATTTGATTAAGATCATCAGAGACTTAACCATCCTGACTTCTAACAGCATGGAAGTAGTTTCACTTACTTTGTATTTTATATCGATGAAGTCATACAGTAGCGCTCATTTGTATGTGGTCTCTTTTGCTCAGATTTGTCTGTGAGAGTTATCATATTGTTAAATATGTTATTAAATTGTTAAATATATTTGGAGATTGTTAAATATAGTTGTAGATCATTCATTCTCATTTCCGTATATTATTCCATTACAGGAATATATGACAATTTGTTCATCCATTCTTTTGTTGATGGGCATTTGGGTAGTTTTCATTTTGGGTCTATTACAAATAATGCCATTATGAACATTCTTTTGGTGAGCATAGGTATGCGTATCTGCCAGGTGTATATCTATGAGTGAAATATAGGTCATAGAACATGTGTATCTTTAGCTTTAGTAGATACCACTGAGCAAATATTCCAAAGAGGTTGTACCCATTTATGCTCCTATAACCAGTGTTTCAAAGTTTTGATTGATTTATATCCTTGTCAACATTTGGTATTTTCTGATTTTTAAAAACTTTAGCCATTTTGGTAGGTAGTGTAGTGTTATCTAATTGTGGTTTTAATGTGCATTTCCCTCATGAAGTTTGAGTGCTGTTTGTTGGCCATTTGGATATCCTGTTTTATGAAGTGTCTTATCAAGTCTTTTGTCCATTTTTCTTTTTGGTTGTCTGTCTTTTCCTTAGTGAATTTTAGGAGTTCTTCCTATATCCTGGATATGGGTCCTTTGCAGATATATGTATTGAGAATATCTTCTCCCATGTTCTCTTTGAACAGAAGTTCTTAAGTTTGATATAGTCTAATTCATCAATATTTAGAAAATACTTTAAAAATAAAATGTATTGACAAATGCCAGCTGGAGTTCATGAGACATATTTTGTGCTTGGATTAAATAAGAGCAAAAAATAGTCTCAGACTAATTAATTGTTACAAAAATGATCAAATTTTCATTTTTATTTTTATACATGTACACAGTAAATACTGAATATGACAAACATGTTGAAGTGATAACTCAAGATGCAAAACAAACTATCAGCAAATATTCTACATGAATTTAAGTTGGTAGAAAATTCTTATATGCTGAAGTAAAATTTATGCGTCTGTCACTCTCTTCTGACATTCCTAATATGGCATACCATTTCTTAGGGCAGATTATCCAATCAGTTAAGAATAACTGTATGAATTTTTCAATATATCATACATACACACATATAATTTAGAAGGAAGCTATTGTTAGCACTCATACATTTTATAGAAGGCTATCTGATATCTTACAGAACTTTAGTATTCTAACTTCTTACCTTAGTATCCTGCAAAACTCTATCAAAGTACAAAAACATGGAGATACATGGTAGTAGAATAGTAAATGAATAGTAGTTCCACATAGGTAGAGTAGGGTGCATAGGAGAGGATAGGGAGTAGGGGCAGAGAGGAGGGGGTGGCAAATGAGGCAAGAGAGCTAGGCAAAGATAAGACTGATAGTTCTTTTTTTTTTATTTTTTTTAACATTTATTCATTTTTGAGAGACAGAGAGAGGCAGAGCATGAGTAGGGGAGGGGCAGAGAGATAGGGAGACACAGAATCCGAAGCAGGCTCTAGGCTCTGAACTGTCAGCAGAGCCCGATGTGGGGCTCGAACTCATGGACCAAACTCACGGACCGTGAGATCATGACCTGAGCCAAAGTCGGAAGCATAACCAACTGAGCCACCCAGACGCCCCAAGACTGATAGTTCTCAAATGCTCCACTAAGGTACTTAAACTCTATCCTATATGAACACTGGTCATGTCATAATAAGATTTATATTCTTTAAAGTTAATGATGGCAATATGAAGGACAGAGTGAATGAAAGTAACTGTTGGCAGAGAGATCGGGGCTACAGCATGTAATAAACAGGAGAAGTAAATATGTCCTAAGTCAAGGCAGTGACAGTGAGAAGGGAAAGGAGAAGATATATTTGAAAACTCTTTTAGAGAGAATTATAGGGTTTAGTGCTTGGAAATGGGGTATGAACTATGAACAAGAAAGAGAAGCCAAAGATGACTCAACTTCTACCCTGGATGATTGGAGTGGAGGCTGATTAATTTGTCTGGGAATGAAACTTGGGATCAGGTTTCAGTGAAAGGTGATAGAGATAAGTTGAGTTTGAGGGTTCTACAGAGTGGCCTAGGAGTAGATGTTCATGAAACAGAAACACAGAAGTAGGGCTTAAACAGAAATAAAGATTTGAAGTCTTCTCTGTATGGGCTATACCTGAAGCAGTGAAACTAGATGAGATTACCCAAGAAGTGAGAGCTATGCAAAGAGAAAGGACTGAAGAGAGAATTTAAAGGGCAGAAAAACTGGAAAAAATAAGAGATTGAGATAGATACAGAGGGATATGTGAAAAATCAAAAGAAAACTGTTATGGCAGCTGAAAAGGAAGAGGGAAGATGTGGGAAGTGTCAAACACTGCAGAGAAGTTACATAGTAAGAGGACAGAAGAGGTTGATGATAGGATGTACTTGATGACTTTGGAGAGAATGTAGGGGGTAAAAGATTGCATTGGGGATCTGAGTAGTATGTGAAAAGGAAGGAGATTATGTAATCATAGTAAAGCTCCAGTTTCACCTCAAACCCATGGATCATTGTGAAGTAAATTATACTAGTCTTGAATTGCTTGGGTAACTGTCCCTGCTTTTCTTCTCTGCCTTACCTATAAAGATCAACTTTAATGCAGTTTTCAAAGCCCTGTTTCCTTTTGATTATCTGTAAAGGTATCAGATTTGAAGTCTTGAAAAATCTTTCCATCATATCTGTGGTAAAGGCATGATGGCTGAATATATTAAAGAATACTAATCTTTTTCATCTTTTTCTTTTTTTCCCCAGGAAACAGTTTTTCCATCCCAAATCACTAATGAGCATGCGTCATTGATAATGGTGAAGAAACTTTTTGCTACTTCTATCTCATGTATAACATATCTAAGGGGCCTGTTTCCAGAGAGCTCTTATGGAGAACGCCATTTGGATGGTAAAGTTTAACTCAGTGATTATCTTGGCTGTTGTAGCCTTTTTCTTTACTTGGTAAGAGTAAACCTTTCATTTTTCACAGAGTGTGCTAATTCCAAGTCATGAGCATGTTCTTCAAGATCAGTTTGCTAATTTTTATTTATTTATCTATCTATCTATCTATCTGTCTATCTATCTATCTATCTATCTATCTATTTATTTATTTATTTATAAGTAGGCTCTGAGCCCAGAGCAGAGCCCAACACAGGGTCTGAACTCACAACCCTGAGGCCAAGGACCTGAGCTGAGATCAACAGACACTCAACCGACTGAGCCACCCAGGCACTCCTTCCTTTTTTTTTTTAAAGATTTTATTTTTAAGTAATCTCTATACCCAACATGGGGCTTGAATTTACAACCCCAAGATCAAGAGTTGGTTGCATGCTCTTCCAACTGAGCCAGGCAAGCGCCCCTCATTTTCCATTTTAATTTAACTATGTTTAGTGGTTCTACTTATAGGAATCATTACTTCCTAGCTGGATACCAAATGACAGACTGAGAAGAAAATAAATCTGTATAGGCAAGCCCAGTAATTCTAAACCATACCTATAAAAGCAGCAGCTGGATCAAAATCTATTTGGGCGCTGTAGATTTGCACTATTTTGTGCCTCAGTTGAGTTTGTTTTCTGAGGTTTACTTTGGCATTGAGGAAGTTTAATGCAGCCAGGTGAAAAACTCTTCATACTGTTGACACATATAAATATGCTGGAAGAAAAGCATGTTCATGCCAAACCCATTTGTTGATAAACATGGAGAGACAATTATTATTCTAATAGTGCTTTTCTTTTCTCAATTGCCAGGTCTCCTACTTTCCTCTCTTTTATTTCTTGTGTCTTAAATTTATGATCTCATTTCCTTATATTACAAGCTGTTTCTGGCTCCTTTCCTTCTCTTGTATTGAAAGAAAAAAAAATGTACCTAGGACTCTTCAATTTTTTAGAATCTTTTTTATTAGCTTTAAAAGCTGAATTGTGATAACAATTCAGAAAAATCTTGCTGATTTGTCACTAAAATGGGAATTATCATTTAGGAAAATAAATGTAAAGAGCTAGAAGTTTCCTTGTAAGATCATATTTTTCAAGATCTAACTTAAAGTTCCTCACATCTGTATTTAATGATATACCTTGGCCTCATTCCAATTTAATTTTCTTAACATTTGATTCTCTATACTAGCATCAATGAAAGGCATGTGGTGCTATAAATACAAAAACATGATATTTGCAGTCATGACAACTTCATTTGTGTCATGTCTTCTTTTGATCTATAGAAAATAAATCTGTAATTGTGAATATGTTTATATGTAGCACAGAGTTGCATTTCTCTTCATTTGGAACAGAATTGGGAAAAATTGGAAAAAGACATTTTTGGGGTAATTAATTAAGGGTTTATTGTGCGTCAGTCACTACCCTAGGCATGGTAAGGGGATGAAATGTTAAAAAACAAAATTCAACTGAATGCATTTGAAGATCTAATTGGTTTTATTCAATAATTCATGAATAGTGCAATATCCAATGTAGCAAATAGAAATAGTTCTAAGAAGCTGTACAAAATGGAAAACTATTATAGGCAGGGTGGCACAAGGAAGTCATTAGTAAAAGAAAAGAAAAGTTTGTATCAGGCAGGGTCACCTTCCTTGGGGGGGTGGGGAAAAGGCAGGGGTCTATCCTGCAGATTACCTCACTAGGGTTGATCAGGAAATTCCAGATTGACTGGTTAAAGTTTACATTCCTGCAATTAAGTCTTGGTTTGCTCTTTGTGGGGGGCAAGTGTTTCCATTTCAGGCCCTTTCTCTCTCTGTCTCTGTCTCTGTTTCTCTCTCTGTCTCTCTCTCTTTCTTTCATTCAACATGGGTAACACTATTACTTATGGCTTTATTTTTTGTGATAATTTTAGTGGAGGTTATATGTTTCCCTCTCAATGTTTGTACTTAAAGTAGCATACATCATAAATATGTTCAGTTCTCCTATGTCACTTTTTTTGGTAATCTCTAAATATTATACCAATATGGAGTAATTTTCATGTATCTCAATAGAGATAGAGGAGACATCAATTTTAGAACAGGAAAACAACATGAAAAGGTGAAGTGGCATGCAAAGTCATACCCATATCAGTGATTGATTTTAGAGTGATCTATACCAAAACTCTTTTAAAAAATTTTTTTAGGGGGTGGCGCCTGGGTGGCTCAGTTGGTTGAAAATCTGACTTCAGCTCAGGTCATGATCTCGCCGTTCATGAGTTTAAGCCCCACGTGGGGCTCTGTGCTGACAGCTCAGAGCCTGGAGCCTGCTTCGGATTCTGTGTCTCCCTCTCTCTCTGCCCATTCCCCACTCATGCTCTGTCTCTGTCTCTCAAAAATGAGTAAACGTTAAAATAAAAAAATAAAAAGAATTTTAATGTTTATTTATTTATTTACTTTTTGAGAGAGAGAGAGAGAGAAAAAGCGTAAGTGGGGGAGGGGCAGAGAGAAAGGGAGACAGAATCTGAAGCAGGTTCCAGGCTCTGAGCTGTCAGAGCCCAATGTGGGGCTGGAACTCATGAACGGCGAGATCATGACCTGAGCCAGTCAAAGTCAGACGCTTAACTGACTGAGCCACCTAGGCACCTCTAAGCTAAAACTCTTTTAATATGATTTTCCTGTTCTCTGACTATAGTAAGGCGGTTGAATTTCAGATGGAAATTAATATTTGAGAATAATCCATGGGAAGAATTTTCTTCTGTATTTTCATTGAGAGGGAGAGAAATATGAGAGAAGTGACTTGAGACTTGAGGTACATGTTTTAAATTGGTTAATGGAAATGGTCTCAGTAATACCTTATGATTACTTGAAATTCAACGGAAGCAAAGAAGTAACACAAATTGATTTTGCAGCCAACTCAGTTGTGCTGCATTGTAGAAGGGGAGACTGCTAGACTATAATCAAAATTGGAACTAAGCTAATCATCAACATAGAATTTATTTCTAAAGTAGATATTTAGAGATTCAAAATGTTTTTATAAGCTATAAAACTAAGTTATGCAAATAAAATAGTTAAAGGAAATATCCTTATTTAGCATGGACAATTTTAGTACAGCAATCATTTAGTAGAGGAAAATAGACTGTGTTTCTATTTTTGTAGACCTCAGTTTAAAAATACTTCGAGAAGATAAAAAATGTCCGGGGTCACTGCATATTATCAAATGGTAAGTAACTGAAATTCGCAAAAGTAGAACAACATTATTTTTATCATGGTTGAAATTACCCATAAGACTATTTGGGGAGATCATTTCCTTAAAACCATTTCTTTCTTCTTTCTCTTTTTCTCTCTCTCACTTTCCTTCCTTCCTTCCTTCCTTCCTTCCTTCCTTCCTTCCTTCCTTCCTTCCTTCCATTTCCTTCTCCTTCCTTCCTTCCTTCCTTTTTCTTCCTTCCATCTTTTTTTCCACAGTTTCCTAGAAATTTATAACAATTATTTCATATAATTTTAAGGTATTGATTTAGTTTATTTTTTGAAGAAAATGGATTTGTACAAGGATAGAAAAATATTTGGCTCCTGAAACAAATACAACACTATATGTCAACTAAACTTCAATAACAAAAATTTTAAAAAGAGAGAAAAATAGCAGTCAAAATTTGATTACTCATCACATGCATATCAGTATCCTAAACATTATGGGAAGCAAAAAGAAAAATAAGATGTAGTTCCCTACCTTAAAATTGCTTACCTATTACCTATAAAGTTCTATCAACATATTAAATGACACTGGGAGTTTTAAAAAAGTTTAAATGTAAGAGGTAAAATGATTACCAATTTAACGTACCTCAAAGCAAAGAATATGCTGTACTGGAAATTTTTTTGGCTTTTGCATCTGGTCCAAATTGACATCAAACATTTATTTCTTGACAGGATTCAAGGCTGTTTTGATGCTTTGGAAAAGAGATACGTAAGAATGTTTTTAAATTTACACCAAGATTAAAGCCTCATCTTTTATCCCTTAAAAAAAAAGTTTAGCCTTTATTTTGTTGTTGTGTAATAAGTGTACCATTGCCTACATTTGCATTTCTGAAACAGTTTCTTTTTATTTTATGTCTTTGTTGTCTCGTTAATGTCTTGTTTTCATTAATTAGAAAGGAAACCCTCACTTTTCTCTTTTACATACTCATATCTTTTTGACCACAGAATTTCCTCTGAAGTCACTGGAAGAGATCCAGAGGATGTGGGACAGGGGAGACAAGAATCTGGCATTTAGCACATTGAATATGTTCAAAATAGTTGTGATTAAATTCACAGATATGAAAGGAAAAAATAGACTTGAATAAGTCTAGTTTGTATTCTATGTTGGTTATTTTGTTAACTATGTTTGGTGCATGTATATAATACATTCCCTCAAAATAGCTAGTATTGTAACTTGGAGTTTTAAAAAATGCAGCTGAATTTTAAGTGCATCAGATCTTTCTTGCTGTCCAAGACAGCTATGAAGGGTGTAAAATTTAGAGGCCCTGGTCCTAGTTGAAGAGACAAGATGTATATAAATTAACCTTCTGCCTGCGTCCCCTCCTTTTCCCCATCTATATCTTCTTTTAACTTCCTCAATTCCTATCCCTTTAAGAAATTTTGAGGTGACTAAGCCTTACATAGGATTATTTAGTTGCACTCATACATTTCCTTTTTCACTGAACAGTTATTATTTATGATTTATTCAACACTGACCTGGGGGACTGAGGGATACAAAATTAAAACAGATATGGGATTGTGCACACAAAGATTTTCTAGACCATGGCAGAAAATAAATGATATTCATATGCACGGCTGATGATCAGCCATGATACACTGGCCCAGCTGTGCCTGTTGTTAAAATATTGAAATATCAGGTGGTAAATAGCTGCTTCGCTGAGACCCAGAATGACCCCCACCATGGCGTCCCCCTCACCTCATCACTGTCTCTTTTGGGATCTCCCCAGACTGATTCATAATCTAGCAATTAAAAGGTTAACATCTGGCCCAGGGGGAGCTTCCAGAAACCCAGCTCCAAGGCTAAATTGGCATCCTTTCCGATTGGCCCATACCTGTGCCATATTGTGCTGTTAAATGTTTATTTTTTTCATATTAGTTTGATATTTTTATGTAAAAATATCAGAAATATTTTGACTACACCTCTGTCACAAGTATAAGTAACCATAATACTCATTAGAAATTGTTGCATGCTAAAGGAAAGATACTGATTGTTTACAATGGAAATATGGAAAAGGAGGGGTTATATCTAGTGAGGAGCATGAAGGAAATCTTCGGGAGAAAATGGCTTTTGAACTTTGAAAGCCTTTAGTATTTGGACAGGTTTAAATGGAGAATGCATACTGAATGGTGCTCATTCATTTTCCTTCAAATGAATTCCTTCCAACATTCTTCAGCATCCATCATCGACAGGCACTACAATATAGTTAAGAGCACAAGTTTTGGAATCAGTCTGAAGGAAATCCCATTTCTGCCACTTAACACCTGTATAATCTTGGGCAAGTACCAGCATCTTGGTTCCTCAGTTTCTTTATATACAAAATGGGGATAATAACAGAACTTACTCCTTAGGGTTGAGAATTAAATGGACTAATCTAAAGCACCGGTTTTCAAATGTGAGCTTGCATTAGAATCATCTGGAAGACAGTTAAAACACATATTGCCAGGCTCTACTCCCCAAAATTTCTGGTGTGAGAATTTGCATTTCAGATAAATTCCAGATGATATTGAGACTGCTGGTTTAGGGACCATACTTTGAAACCACTGATTTAAATTTTTAGTACAATGCCTGGCACATAATAAACACTATGAAAGTGTTAACTCTTTTTCCTCCCCCCATCCCTCCCTCTCTACTTTCCTCCTTCCCTTCCCCTTCCCTTCATCTCTCCCTCCTTCTCTCCTCCCACCTTCTCTTATTCTTCTTTCCCTCCTTTCTTCTTTTCTTCATTCCCTCTCTTCCTCCCTTCCTTTCTTACCTATTTAATCTGTGCCAGACATTGTACCTAAATACTGGATGAGAGAAAAATGTGATTCCTCCACTCAAGGAGGTTACAGTCTAATGGAGTCACTTCTTAAATAATTACAATGTTAGGTGTACTAAAATAGCAGTGTGATGTAAAAAGATTATCTACCTAGTTTGATGGATTTATTTTACTTAAATGACTACCTGTATGACTGAATCAATTAAATTTATTGTTTTGGGAGATTAAAAGACAACACCTTAGACGGATGGCCTAGGTTCTTAATAGCATTTATATTTGTTTTTCAGTTGTTAGTATCTTAATTTCCTACTAGGAAATAGTTAATGTTGTTGGTTTTTTTTTTTTTTTAAGTTTTTATTTATGAGAGAGAGAGAGAGCACAAGCAGGTAAGGGGCAGAGAGAAGGAGAGACAGAATCGCAAGCAGCTTCTGTGCCATCAGCACAGAGCCCGATGTGGGGCTCAAACTCACAAACTGTGAGATCACAACTTGAGCCAAGATCAAGAGTTGAACATTTAACTGACCTAGCCACCCAGGTGCCCCAGGAAATAGTTAATGTTTTAAAATTAGTTTGAGTAGGGGTGCCTGGGTGGCTCAGTCGGTTGAGTGTCCGACTTCAGCTCAGGTCATAATCTCGCGGTTTGTGAGTTGGAGCCCCGCGCCGGGCTCTGTGCTAACAACTCGGAGCCTGGAACCTGCTTCAGATTCTGTGTCTCCTCCTCTCTCTGCCTGTCCCCTGCTCATGCTCTGTCTCTCTTTGTCTCTGAATAATAAATAAAAATATTAAAAAAATGTTTTAAATAGTTTGAGTAAAGTCAAGTTTGAGTATCTAGAGATTTTGAAAGATGTTCTGTTGAAGATGATGATTATTTCTAGTTGTGAAATTTTAGGTGATTTTACCCTGTTTTCTTTGCAGTTCCTATTGTGCTTAAATTCTTTAAAGTAAGCATGTACGTATTTTTAGATAGCTATAAAAAAGAGACTATATTGTACATAGCCTCCTAATTTGTCTCATTCCCATTTTCAATCCCCTACCATTCTAACCCAGTGTCCACACTACATTCTTCAGAAATCTGTCTGATCATGTCAATCTCTTGCTTGAAAATCTGCCATGGCTATGTATGTATGTATGTACGTTTTATTTATTTAAGTAATCTCTACACCCAAAGTGGGGCTCAAACTCACAACCCCAAAATGAAGAGTTGCATGCTCTTCTAATTGAGCCAGCCAGGCACCCCATTTCCATGACTTTTAAAATAACATTGAGAGTCCTTCACAGAGAACCTGTATAATCTGGTCTACACCTGCCTTTCCAAGTCATCACTCTCACCATTGCTAACCATAGTCAAGCCACACAAGGATTCTAGAACATGCCAAATGCCTTTTCCTTTTGTTGTAGTATTCTTTTTTGCCTGCAAAATTCTCTTCATTACCCATACCTTTTACCTGGCTAACTCCAATGTATCTTTCAGGTCTCAGCCTAAATATTTACTTACCCAGAGAAGTCTTTCCTGGCACACAGCCCCCTACCCCAGCCTAGATTGTCCTTTTGTTTAATGTTCTCAAGCACCTCGTGATGCTTTGTCATAGCAATTAACACGATTGTAATGATGTACCTATCTGTTTGCTTTTTTGTTTAATGTTTTCTCTCCTGTTGGTCTGCATGTTCCTTGAGATCAGTAGCCATTTCTATTTTTGAATGAATGAATGAACTATTAATCAAATAATTAATATAAAGTTTCACTGTATAGTCTTAAAAATAAATTGTATGCAGTAACCAAAATAGCCACACAGTGTCACTAAAGTTTTATTCCTCAGGGTGAAATAGGTGAATAATTTGATATGAAATTATCAGTCCAGAAATTTTCTTTTAATTTTTTTCTTTTTTTAAAAAATTTAACTAGATTCCATACCCAATGTGTGGCTTGAACTCACAACCCTGAGATTAAGAGTCTCATTCTCTACTGACTGAGCCAGCCAGGCGCCCCTGGTCTGGAAAATTTCTAATTTGTATTCTAGTTTTTAAATTTTTATCAGAGGCTAGATTGTATCTCTATCTATATATTGGATTACTCTTTCAAGCAGAGAGAATCTGTTTATAGTAATATATATGCAGGTAGGGCAAGGGGTTTTATAGACATACCAGACTTTAAAATTTTTTCTTTAGTAGATTAGTTTCAAAAGACAATTTTTTGGAGATACTTGTGGCATATTTAATGTTTAATAATAATGAATTATTTTGTGTATCTTTTGCTTCTTCAACTAAAATATAACTTTTAGAGAGTACAGATAGTATTTTTTTTTTTGCAACCTTCCTCTCCCCAGCAGAACCCTATGTATGTAAATTTATACACATTTGAATACGTGAGTGAATTAGTATCCCTTCTTCAGATCTTCTACCCAAATCTTTGAACGTCTCTTAAATCATATTTTAATTAGCTTTTATTGAAAATAACAATAATATCTGTACAAGTATATAATAACAGTAGTTTTCTTTTCTCTTGAAGCTACACATGGCAGTACTTACAGTAAGTACACATTTAAAGACCAAGCCCATGTCTCTGTTGTCTTTTGGCAAGTAAAACATTAAAATAGTACTATCCCCACTTCTCCCTGAATTTCTTTATCTGTCCTATGACGTTTTGGAATTAAAAAAAATAGAATCTGTCAGAAGTTTTTTTTTTTTTAATGTTTATTTATTTTGAGAGAGAGAGAGAGAGAGAGAGAGAGGAGGGAATGGGA